AAAAAAAAAGTCTAGTCTATCCTTATATTTGACAGTGCTTATGGTTGTTGCATGTGATTTAAGTGATATAAAATTGTTAAGTTTTCTTTGAGACAAGCAAAAAGCCAAAGTTTGAGGCTTCTGATTCTCCTTGTTTACAAGGGTAAAAAAGAAATAGTTAGGTGTTGTTTTCTATCATTTTACACTCAAAAACCGTGTTTTAAGCTTAGTTCAGTGTCCAAAACCTTTATTTATGAGTTATCTTAGGTTATACGTGCATATATGACATTTTTCTATCATTTAAAGTTGATTTCTAACAGAAATTACGATTTTGTGCAAGAATTTTTTTTTGTACTAGGCACTTGGTGCCTTGCCTAATACCAAAATTATCCTTAATGTGAAACACAAGTTTTGGTGTGCTTGAAATTTTCTCCCAGCCCCTCTACGTGTCTTCCATGCAAGAGAAGAGCCAATTCAACCAATAAATTAAGTTGGAGAGGTTTTGAAAGGGTGGCTCTCCTTGAATTACTCAACTTCCTAACCGTCTTGAAGCCCTATAAAATCAGCAATCTCTCTCACTCCATTCATCATCCAAATGATCATTTCAAGCATTCTACATTTGTTCTCAGCTTCTTTTGTTTTCTTGGTTCTTTAATTTAGATTGTCATGTTTATCTTAAAAAACTTAGTCTTTCCAAGTCATTATTTAAGTTGAACTCTATTTTTCCAGCTTGTTACTTCTAATTGTAAGTTTTGGATTCTTTTCAAAGTAATTCCAGCAAATTTATTGTTGTTACATCTCCATTCTTATTCTTTACAAAGCTTGTAATCACACAATTTTGTGGAATCAACTAAGCATTGCTCCCCGAACCTTGAAAGAGAAAGGGTAAGGGTCATTCAGGTTACAAACTTCTTATTTGCAGCTTGTTTTTATTTTACTCTTCTTACATCATGTCTTCCATTTATAACAATGTTCAATTCTATTATTTCTCTAAAGTTATGAGCTAAATTTATTTTCCCAAGCCCGATTATGGATGATTAGCTCAGGTTTTTAAAAATCGAACAAGTCAAAAGGTGTTTTTCTCTTCTTTTATCACTTAAGGTTGTTTTATAAAGTTAAAAATTTATTTGTCCACTTAATGACCATGCATCAAATCTGAAAAGATTGATATATTTCCACAACATTAATTGATTTAACTTTGGAAATAAATACTTTAAACGTAAAGATTTCGCTCGAGTAGCCTAGACATAGAACCTCGACCTAAGGTTACGATTGGTTTTTRTTAAATTAAGTTCACTTTTTCTAATAATGAATTTCTACCTTCAAAATTACTTAAACATAAGAAGATGGCGAAGCAAAACCGATGAAAAATATAGAGAGGCACCTGACGCCTAGTTGGAAAAACGTTGTGTATTTTTAGCTAATTCGAAGTAACTGGGCTAGGTTTATTCCATTGAGTTTTTAAATACCAAAACCAACATCATTCTTGGTATTTGTTACCCCAAAATCAATTGAAAATTTGCCGATCAACATCATTTTCATTAAAAAGGCTTTAATTGTCCTTGTGGATTGATACTTGGAAAACTCATTCCATTCAATTGTCCTTTTCTCACAAAGAGCGCAGTTAGAAAATATTACTCGTCGACGGTTCAGCCTGATCAGAGAATCAGTGGCAACCTCGGACCGGACCCACTGTGTTTTCGGAAAGGTGATGGAGGGCTAGTTTGTCGTTTGTGATGATAACCGAGGGAGCCCGATCGGCAGTAGGAAGCCCTTGAATCGTCTGAAGTATCGACAAGGACTCAAAAAAAAGAGGTGGGACCCCGACTGACACCGTTGAGTGAGAGAAAAAGTGGTTATTAAGGGTGTGCACACACAAACGAAATCAGAAGAAGGAGAGAAACGACGAACTTACCATTTTCTCTAAAATGATTAGGAATGCTCCTGCAGACTGGCTCACAAGCAGCCAGCTAGGTCCTGCCAACGAAGAACCACCGATCCTTCCAGTGTTTGTTTGAGGTAGGGATCTGAATATTTCCCAATAGCAAGAGTTGAGGCTGTAAAGTCCTGAGAAGCCGACGATCGACTTTAGCATTGTTAAGGCAGTCAGTAAGCCTACGGTATCTGCTCCTCTCCGTTGAACTCCAGCCAGATAATGGCCAGAGCCAACATCATTCCCAAGAATTGGGGGCAAGCTACACCAGCACGACCTAGGCAAGGGACAAAAAAGCTTGAGCAAACAATGAGAGTGAGAGTCTTACCCCATTACTAAACATCTAAGGATAAAAACTCACCCATCCCGGAGGAGGGGTGTCGATCCTCTTATCTCTCGCTGGCAAGTGCATTGGGATGTAGGCGGGGATGCAGTGGTAGACTGAATATCTTGTAGGTCTTCCTCCATCRGGATTGAAGGAACGTGAGCCACCGAGGGACGGTTGCCAGCATGAGGAGCGTTTCTACAAGCAGCCATGGCTGGGCCGAAATTCGAGAAAACCAATATGAACAAAGATCGAGGGAGGTGAAGTGAATAGTCATCGCCCTCCCCTTAAAAACAGAATTTAAAAGGCCCTGCCAAGCATCGTTCCAGATCCCAACAGACGCCCAGAATTGCAATTGCCGCCTCCACCGCTTCGCTCTACGCACGAGGGACGTGACCGCTAGTGAAACAACGACAAGCACGTGTCCCCTCATCAATGTGGTCGTATGAGCAGATGCCTGGCCGTCATGCCTCCTTATTACACTTTGAGGGGCTTTCCAGTTCCCAACAACGCGACYGCTTGTTTGGTTGTTCATGGAACTTCAAGATGGAAATATTTGTTGCTCGATCCAATGAAGTCTTCTTATCTTTGAGTGTCTTTCTTCTAGCTCTTCTTCTTTGTTGGTGTAAGTTGAGTCTTAGAGCTTGGAGTCCATTATGATCACATCACTTCTCAATGTGGTTTGTCGGGATTACTCATAAAACAGCTTAGTACACTCATAGCTTGTGCAATATCGGATTTCGTACATCGAACTCCCTAATGCATTTGAGTATGAAATTTTGCTCATTTCTTCTACATCCTGATCTGTTTTTAGTGACTATGACTTTGATCATTTGAACTGTTGTGCTAAGGGAACATAAACTGTTTTTCCCTTCTCTAAGTCAAACTTCTTGACTAATTTATCAAGATGGTCGCTTTGTGTAATGGTTAGCAGCTCTCCAGTCTTGTCTCTTGATATTTTCATTCCTAGAATCTTACTTGTAGACAGATATTTTCGTTCCCAGAATCTTACTTGTAGAACCAATGTCTTACTTGCACAAGTGTAACTTCAGAACATTAACCTCGTTGATTTGTTAACATGAAATTAACTTGTTATAATGAGATGTGTTTTATGTAGACACAAGTATCGAATTGGCTTCGATTGAAACCACAATTTGTCATAAACAAATCAAAACGTATGTACCACTACCTTGGGCATTGCTTCAAGCTGTAGAGAAACCACTTTAATCCTGTGTGCAGGTCTTCTTCTCCTACTGTAAGTTCACAAAAATGCCTAACCAGCATCCTATTTAATATAATTAAGTTAGATATATGAAATGTGTGCTTTATTTTATTATATAGAAATTCTCTCTAGGCGATCATTTCAGAATCCATATTTCATAAATTTCTATCTTCGTTATATTAAATGAAGGCTTTTTGTCTCCAAAATACCCTCACTTAATTTCCTCCTATTACATTTGTTGTGATTTTTTAATTGATTCTTTTCTCATAAATTGATGGTAATTTAAGACATATATTTACATTAATGAATAATTATATTTAATTTTAATAATCGTTTGAACAAATAAATAAAGTTTTCGATTTAATTATACTAACCTGTTAAAAAAATTATAATTATATACTTGGGATACCAAAATTAAGAATTAAATTCCTCCCATTTTTGTACTTCTTTTTTCATATAATTTCCAGAAAAAGCTTTCCGTTTAGTTTCAACCTCTGGCGGTGTTTGGTGTTTTAATTTGAGTTTCCAAACTTCCGGTGTTGCTTTAGTTTTCAAACTTCGGGCGTTCACAAATTTTCGTTCAATTTCAAACTTCAACGGTACTTTGGGTTTTTTAAATGTTTTAGAATAAATTAAAAATAGAAATAAAATAAAATAAAAAATTTGTTTGTGTTGTTTTCAAAATGTCTATACAATTATGATAATGTTTCTAAAAAATAAGAAACAAAAATTACAAATAATGGTTAAATACTTAGGGTGAAAACGAGAAATAAAAAAGTGAACGTTATGGTTTCAAAATTATATATATCTTGTTGTGAACGATAAATTGTTTTTAATTCCTTGACATACACCACACACGCCATACGAAATAATCATATTCATTATTTTCAATAATTCTGCTATCGACTTTACTAACAAACAATATATTAAAATTGGAAGTACAATGCCTAAACAAACATTAAAGAAAACAATAAGATATCATTTAGTTGTCTAATTAATTAATTAATCAATTAATTAACTAACTGTGGAGAGACAACTGGATGGCTGAAGCAAGCCAGCAGCAGTTCCTCCAGCATGACTACACGAAGCTTCAGCTGCTTCATTCTGACAACTCAGCCTCACATCCTCCACCCTTATTCCACTGCATGGAAATTTGGGGCTACAATCGAATTTCACTGCTACTTCACTCGCCGATATTCCGTGGATATTTTTATACGTCACATTGCTAATTTTCACCCCGGAATCCTGTCAATGTAATTTTTCCATATCAATGTAATTTTTCCATATCAGGTTGGGATTAAATCGTTACAAATTTTAAACGGAGATGGTACAGTCACGAATTACGTACCTGTCCCGGACAAGCTTGGGCGTGGGGGCAGTAATTCTGATCGATGATGATAGGATTCTGGACATTAAGCATGAGGATATCCTGAAAAATTATGTTTTTGGTAAACCCATTGCTTGGCCTTCCCCATGTTTTTATTCTAACGCCGTTTTGGGTGTCGGTAAATGTTGCAGATTTCACCGTCACATTCTGAACCCCAGCCTCTTGCTCCTCTTTTCCTAAACTCCCAATACTGCAGTCCAAAAACGCACCGTATGATCTCTTTTCTCATCAATTAGGAGTCCAAAAAACCACCCAAAAGTTTAATGGATTATAATAAATTTAATAATCCATAGAGAAGTACCTGATTCCATGGCCGGGTCCACAAACAACATTCTCAATCCACAAGTTGGATGTACCAGGACCGATTGAGATGCAGTCGTCACCGGTGCCGATATTGGAGTGGATGACGGTGACATCCGATGATCGTTCAACATGAATTCCATCGGTGTTGGGGCTATCGCCGGGGGGCTGAGATCTTGAGTCCATGCATTTTTACATTTTGGCACTCATACACTACAACGTCAAACATCTGGCTGTTCAGTGATGTCAAGCCATTCACTATTATGTTCTTCGAATTGGAGAATTCTAACGACTGCACACAAAACAAACAACAAAACAAACAGTTTATTCCTTAAAGGTGTAACATAATCTTTGGAAATTATAAAACAAGAAATTGTAAATAAAATAATAATATTGGTACCGTGGCTCCGGAGGGACAGTTCTGGCCGGACTTTTTGCAAGCCCACAGTGCAGTTCCTTGGGCATCAAGAATGCCACCTAAGACAGTAACTCCATCGACAAGTCGAAAAATAATCCAATTATAAGAGTTTCCGATCGCACGAAAGTCTGAAGGAGCCACCAGAGTACCATSGATGCGTACGGTGAGGGCATTGTTGTTGCAAGGCCCCTCAAAAGTTGCACTACTTACGTAGAATTTGCCCTTGGGCACGTAAATGGATGCCGCTGCTGAAGACTTGCAAGCATTGCTCCATGCCGCCTCCAAGGCCTTGGACGAGTCGGTTTCGGCATCGAGTTTGGCTCCAAAATCGACGATGTTGAACGTCGACGAAGAGGCGAGCGATGAGTCGAGGGAGAGGAACAGAACAAGGWGTAGGCTTATGGGAAGAGCCATTTGGGATTGGAATGCGTTAAAACTTTTTTAGAAAGAAAGAGAGTTTTTGAGCGTGTTGTGGTTTGGAGGGGTTTTTGAAGCCTTTATTATATAAGCGAGGAAAACAATAAAGGGAACTCCATTTTGGATCATTAAAGGAAACAAATWGACAATTCTCTGATTTCGAAATTACTTTCGTCAATTGACCAATATGCCCTCACGTGATATTTTGTATAATTGGGATTCGCCATTGGGGACTAAAAATTACTTTTTGGTTCAAACTGAGTAAAATTTAAAAAAAAAATTGGGTGATAAATCCCTCGCCGAAATTATAAAATTCTTTTGGATTGAAATTTGATTCACATTTAATATATAAATAAATAAATAGTGATTCACTAGATATTCGATAAGGTTTGTAGTTTCCCATAACCTAATTTCCAATATTGGTGGTACGCCTATTTTTTGTTTACAAAGGAATTAAGGGAAATGCATTTAATAATCCTTTTTATATATATTGTTTTTTTCAGTACTTATATATTAAATTTAGTTATATTTTTTTTAGAGCCAATTTTTATAAATTACAAAAAGTATWTAAATTTTACTCCAAAATTAATTTTAAGTTTTACCTTGATTTAACTTTTAAGGTTTTAATAGTGAAATTAGTAATTTTTTTTTTCAATGATTTTGGACTAGGTGGACAATGTTATTTCTTGGAGATGATTAGAGGTAAGTATTGTATGATTGGACCACGTTCCTACTGATATTTTGTAAAATTATCACCGCAGTATAATTTTTTCGTTAAAAAAATATTATTGTTTTAAAATAATAATATAATAAAAACAAGAAATTTTATTTTAGGAAAAAATATATTTTTCATTAAAATGAAATAAATTTTCTTAAATGGTTTGTGTTTTGTAGTGTCGTTAAGCACAAAATGCGAAGGAAGAAATCGGAAATTTATGATCTATTGCAAACATTGTTTTGCTTTTATTTTCTGTCCTTAAAAAATAAAATAACTTACGAATAATATCTTTAGCCAAATCTCATGAGCCTCAAAAGGGAAGTTAYTTTGTAGAAATTATTCTGTAAATTCTTCCCTTTTTTAAGTTATTTTCGTAAGATATTTTTTAGCCAAATTTAGATAGAATTTTAAAGACGTATTTAAAAATCAGATCAGGTAACAGAATTGAAGAAATTAAAACGTCAGTGTAAATATTTTTTTTATCTAAAAAATTGCAATGAATTCTACAGAATAATTTTTTTTTTAATTTAAAATATGCACAGTGCCATACTTTCTCTGTTGCTTCAACAGACAACAACATCACGTATTCAAGCGTTCCATGTTCATTCATGTATTTTATTTCTCCATATATAAAATATTTGGTCATGATCTCACCGTAAAATCTGACTTTTTTTCTTCTTTTTCTTTTTTTTTTTTGGCTTTTKAAGTAATGTAAAATATGAATGTTTCTTCTTTTAAACATTGTTTGAATTTTGATTTTTTAAATGTTTCTTTTGTCTTATAATTTTCTTTGAGTTTCTTCCCGCGAATACCTATTTATTATTATTATTATTTTTAAGAAAAATGAATACCTAGTTATCAAAAATAAACAAACAAACAAAGTACGATATTTCTCTTAAAATCAATGTCCATATATGGAATATGCACTAGTCTCAAGAGATGACATAATGGAAAAGACATGGACTCTTGTGTTATCACCCTTCAAAAATAAATTCACTAATATTAACTCAAATAATATATTTTTWAAAAAAATTAACTCAAATAATATCTTTAGCCGAATCATGACAAAATAATATATATTTAAAAAATTCGTAAGTTGATAAACTCAATATTAACTCAAAATAATATATATTAAAAAAAACTATATTCTTAGAATAGTTCCTATACAAACTCTAATCTGCTCATATTTGTTTTAGTTGAACAAATATAAGAGTGACCGATCAAACCTTAACCTTAGAACATAATATGGGTTCATTCAAAGAGATTAAAAAAAATATATACATAACAGTTTAAATCTTTTTTTTTCAAACAAAAAAATTTCTTCTTTTTTCTAAATAAACTATTATTTTGAATATATATGATAAATTATATTACCATATTCAAGATTTTAGATGGAAATATCGATAAAATGTCGATATCGATGAATATTTCKGTAAAAGTTAAAAAATTTAAAAAAATTGTAAAAATATTGAAATGAACAAATAAACATTTTCCTGTTTCTAAATTAGTTAAAAATAATTTAATCTTAATATTATGTATATATTAGTGACATTTTGTTGATATTTTTCATATTTTGTCAATTTTTTTGTACTATGATAAAAATGTCGATTTATCTCTCATATCGATATCGAACTCATGAAAATATGGATATGTCGATAGAAATGTCGACGTGTTGACGAATATTTAAAACCATGACCATATTTCAAACATAATCTTGTTATTTTCAAAGTTGCAATAATTTTATGTGCATTCAAATGAAAGAGGACWATTATTATGTTAAATTTTGTAGAGGGTGTGAGAGAGTTGTTTGACGAAATTATTTATTTATTTATTATTATTATATTTTTTTTTTAATAACAAATTGAAAGTATGGAGGTATTCAACTTCAAAGAAAGAAATAAGTACCAATTACCATTTGAACTATGTTCCCGTTGACATTTTGTAAAATTAGTTGCAGCTTGAAATATCTACCATTGTTGAAGAAGAAAAAAATAAAAGATAAAAGTTTGAAGTATTAACACAAAGTGGGTCTATTTTGAGGCATTGACCCAAAAAGGGTAGGCAGCCAGTTATTAGGTCTAAAACCGAATCGAGGGGTAATTTCGGAAATTTGCAGAGAGGAAAATGGAAAAAGGAAACAGAGAATAAAACGGAGAAGAAATCGGCGGGGCGACCTCAATTAAATACGGAAAATATAGAAAGACCGTTTTTCCGTTTCCCATTGCGACATGTCGTTCGGTGGACAGGAAACAGTGTGTAGAGTCGTTTATAAGTTCATGTAGCCACATGCAAATACTATTGCTTACCTCATTTCTCATTTCCCGTTATACACTCCAATACTCCATTTCAATCCATGTCTTCATTTCTCATGGGATTTGATATTAATTTTATTTAATTTAATTGGTATTTCCGTAGTATCATACAAATATTTATCAAAACAATAGAAAAAATTGTGTGAAGATATATCCGAGATTTCAAAAACCATTGTGCTTTTGTATTTACCACATACGTTGAAATCTATTCCCATAAATATGTCAATGTTTGATGTCTATTGAATTATATTATGAGTTATTGTACATGTTGATTCTTCCCTTTGTAATTTTATTTATAACAATTTTGTTTATGTATATACATGTAAAGTTAACAATATGTAGAGTAGGAGGAGTTCAGATCTCTAACTTTTTAGTTTTAATTATTTGAAACCAAAATTTTAGATAAGTCCCACCATTGGACACCATACACTTAAAAAAATASGTAAGAATATTATTTATCTATGTGTATGAATAAATCATAATAAGATTTTGACTTTAATGATTAAATCTTTAAATTCTTTTAAAGATATAAATAGTTTAAAAAAAAAAGAAAAAAGAAGACCAAAGTGTTAACGTCTTTTAAGTACCAATASTAAAAATGTGTTCAACCTAATAGATGGCAAAACTTTTCGCAATTTAGTTTTCACATTACTTTTATCAACTTTATGACACATTAACCGAGTATAATTCAACAGTAATTGACATATATCGTGGTTGTGAGTTCGATCTCCCACTTCACATGTTGTACTAAAAAAACTTTCAGACACATTTAAATTTCCTTCAACCAATCCAGTTTGGACAAGGACTTTAGTTTTGGTATGAAAACGTGTCATTCAAGAAGTTTGTACATTTTTTTAACTCTCGTTACGTTGAAACAACTGGAGCATTTTTTGGTAATTTACTTTGTTTTTATTTATTTTTTCAACTTCAGTATAGCCTTATGTTGGGGGCAACTCCATCCCCAAACTAAATAATGCGTTTTAAAAAATGGCGAAACAGATCAAATATTGCAAGAATTGCTAAATGACATTTTTTTTAATATTGAATAGAATTTTTAGACAAATTTACCCCTTGAAACTGATTAAGTATATATGTTTAATTTAATTTTAGGAATTTAAGATTTATAACTAATAACAAAAACAACCCGCCTTTATCGTACGGAAACAATTTTATCTTATCAAACCATGAATAAAGTTTAAATTAAATCAAATCTAATTTAAGAATTGATACCATATATTTTGAAATCAAAATTTGAAAGTAGATTTTTTAAAAATTATTAAAAATGTGTCAGTAGATTTTAAAATTTATAATTCTAAAATCTAAAATTCAAASGTATGAAATGGGTAAATATGATTATTTCTAGTAAATTGAAAAATTTAGATCCTAACCTAGAGGAATTTATGGTTTCGAGACYCACACCCACCTTTTTGCACAATCTTCCCACCCCCACATCGTCCATTGTTCGCTCCACCATCTTCGCAACTGAATGTATGAGAACAACATTAGTAGCCGTTTTGCCCACCATCTTGGCCGACTGTCCGCCTGCCCGCGGTTCGATTCGTCGCCAACTATTGCCCGTTAAAGAGTGTTCGCACGTCGCTGTAGTCAGCCACATCTTGCCGCTAGCCGACCCACACCGTCCGGTCCGCCTGAAGCACCACGCCGTCCGCATTGCCTGCTACCCACGATTCGTCCGTTCTCGTCGTCGCCACACTCCGTTGCGATCCCGTCACTCAGCCGGTCATCCAATCTGCCAGCCTACAGTATACTTCGTAGCCCACTGTCGCTCCGATCCGCCCACCAGCCCAAYCTGCCCCTCCGATCCGCCGCCCCGTCGCCCAACGCTTCTTCCAACCGCTGTTCGACGAAGGTAAGACTCTCTATTCTGATTTTGCATACAAAATTTAGTTTTAAATGATATTTTTGGTCTTCCTATATGTTAAAGGTATATAAAAAGAATACAAATATGGGACCGACCATATGAGTGTTTTTTTTATAATCAAATCTG